GCTGCGGGGGGAAGCCGCGTCCCCCCGCAAGGGCAAAGTGGTGCCCGTGGAGTGGCCGAACGGCCGGGCTGTTCTCCTGCGGGGGCAGTGGCTTCTCTGGTGTCTAGTAAGGGTTGTGCACAGCATCCCCTTTCCACGCCGGGAATCAGCTCCAGCGCGCGGGGACGTTTTCCAGCCTCGAACCGATTCCCCCCCACACCTACCCCAGCTCGTGGGTCCAGCGGCGGGGGAGGCAACCTGTGTCCTGGGCACGGGGACCAGCGGGGGCCAGAGGGCACAGGACAGGTGGCGCTGCCACCAGGGGTGCCGGGACCGCCGGGGGGTGCAGGGACCCCAGAGAGGGGACAGGGACCATGGAAAGGGGTGAAGGGACCTCAGGGATGGGTGCAAGGACCCCCAAAATGGGTCTGGGGATCCTAGAGAGGGGACAGGGACCCTGGAGGGTGCAGGGACCCTGGAGGAGGGACAGGGACCTGCAGAGGGGTGCAGGGATGTCCCCCTGGGCATCCTCCTGGGCTGGGGTGATTCTGGGGACACCCGGTGGCTCCTGGGAGATGTGGTGGCTTTGGGGACAAGTGGCCGCTCTGGGGACATGATTGCTCTAGGATGTGTCATGTCTCTGAGGACCCAGTGGCCCTGAGATACACAGCAGCTCTGGGGACACGTGGTGGCTCTGGGGATGCAGCGGCTCTGGTGACAAGTGGCATCTCTGGGGACGCAAGCAGTTCCTGTAGGGATGCACAACAGCTCTGGGGACATAGGGTGGCTCTGGAGACTGGATGACTACAGGGACAGGTTGTGGCTCTGGGGAGATGGTGCCTGTTGGACATAAGGTGGCTCTGGGGACATGTTGTCCCCAGGTCCCTGTTGCCACTATCCCCTCCGCAAGCCTGTGTGTCACCGGTGTCCCCATGAGGGTGGCACTCCGGCTCAGGAAGGGACCACAGCAATGCACAGGTCAGTGCAGGACAGGGTGTCACCTCCGTCCCTGTGTCCTCCTGTCCAGGAAAATCCTGGAGGCAGCGGGACCGGAGGCGACGGAGGTGCCAGCGGCAGTGCGGTCCCCGGAGGCTCCGCGGAGGTGGCACCACGTCCCTGGTGTCCCCGGCCCGCTGCCCCCTCCTGCCAGCCATTGAGGTGGCTCCAAGGGCTTCTTCCGCGCCCGCTGCCGGGTTTTGTGCTGCCGGGAACGGGGCCGGGGCCGGAAAGGGACCGGTGGCTCCGCCAGCCATTCGTCTCTGTCACCTCCCATTTACCACAGTGGGCAAAGCCAGGCCAGGACGCCTGGGTCCCTCTGTGACCCCTGCCAGCGCTCCCAGCATGGGGGGAATGGAAGAACAGCCCAGGTGGCGCATGGGGACAGCAGGGGACAACCCTAGGGACAGTGGGAGGGTGACAGGAGCCGGGGCACCCTTGAGTGGCATCGGCACCCACGAGTGCTGTGGGGTGCGCAGGGATGGACAGACGTACGGCTGATCCAAGGTGTCCAACCAGGGATGGATACGTGGATGGACACAGGTTTGTGTGGACGTAGAGGTGTACGGACGTAGAGGTGTACGGATGCGGAGGTGCACAGGTTTATAGGTGTACGGATGGATACGCGTACGGATGCAGAGCTGTACAGATGTGTAAGTGCAGGGATGCGGGGCTGGCTAAAGGGGCAGATGCATCTCCCTGTCCCCGGGGTGCCCCGGCCACCCCGTCCTCACGGCGTGCCCCGCTGTCCCCTCTTGCAGATGACGTCGGCCACCAAGGTCTACTACAGCCAGACGACGCAGAGCCTGCTGATCGGCGCGGGGCTGCGGCGCCGCCGCGTCATGACCAAGGACGGCCGGAGCAACGTGCGCATGGAGCACATCGCCGACAAGCGCTTCCTCTACCTCAAGGACCTGTGGACCACCTTCATCGACATGCAGTGGCGCTACAAGCTGGTGCTCTTCTCGGCCACCTTCGCGGGCACCTGGTTCGCCTTCGGCGTCGTCTGGTACCTGGTGGCCGTGATGCACGGGGACCTGCTGGAGTTCGCGCCGCCCGCCAACCACACGCCGTGCGTCATGCAGGTGCACACGCTCACCGGCGCCTTCCTCTTCTCCCTCGAGTCCCAGACCACCATCGGCTACGGCTTTCCCTCAGAGTGTCCGCTCGCCATCGTGCTCCTCATCACGCAGCTGGTCCTCACCACCATCCTGGAGATCTTCATCACGGGCACCTTCCTGGCCAAGATCGCGCGGCCCAAGAAGCGCGCGGAGACCATCAAGTTCAGCCAGAACGCGGTGGTGGCCCAGCACAACGGCAAGACCTGCCTCATGATCCGCGTGGCCAACATGCGCAAGAGCCTCCTCATCGGCTGCCAGGTGAGCGGCAAGCTCCTGCAGACCCACCTCACCAAGGAGGGCGAGAGCGTCCGCCTCAACCAGGTCAACGTGGACTTCCAGGTGGACACGTCTTCCGACAGCCCCTTCCTCATCCTGCCCCTCACCTTCTACCACGTGGTGGACGACGCCAGCCCCCTGCGCGAGCTGGCGCTGCGCACGGGCGAGGGCGACTTCGAGCTCGTCGTCATCCTCAGCGGCACCGTGGAGTCCACGAGCGCCACGTGCCAGGTGCGCACGTCCTACCTGCCCGAGGAGATCCTGTGGGGCTACGAGTTCACGCCGGCCATCTCGCTCTCGGCCAGCGGCAAGTACGTGGCCGACTTCAGCCTCTTCGACCAGGTGGTGAAGGTGGCGGCGCCCCGCGGCGCCCAC